TTATGAGAATGGAGCATTTTATTTCAGATGAAACCATGCAAATCTCAAGGAGAGAGGAGGCTGGCAGAAAGAAAAGTCCCCTGATATATATCTTTTAATTAACACAGCAAAACATTCCGTTCTGTATGCAGGTAAATCATTTATGCACAATTCACTTGGGTTTCGCATCCTTATCACTAAAAACCTTTTTTTTTTTGCAAGTTTGATTTATTTTGAAAAAAAAAATCAAACTAGCAAAGTGTATTGTATGATGAGGAAGTTCAGGATGCGTAGCACTGAGGGGACAACACTCATTTAAATTGCATTAATTCTTCCACAAAGTGAGAGTATAAAGGTGACTCTGTCTGTCTTGCCCAAGTTTTACAATATTCACTTAAAAGATCCAAGTTTATTTTAAGTATATATACCTACATACTTTTTTTTTACCATGCTGAGTTACGAGCCCTAGATACGTTAATCTCTTCAGGCCTTACCTGACTTGTCAGCAAGCCAAATGCAAGAGATCACTCCTTTTTCTTTGCATCGTGATCCTTTCCCCAAAGCATGAAGCAGAAGCAGAAGGTCAGGCCCAGTTCAGCCAGCACCCACGTGGACAACTGACGTACCACAACCATGAAGTCACCTACTGCCTGCATCTTCTGCAGCTCCCACAGAGTCTCTTCCAGCCCTCAGTCTCGGCCGACAGCCATATAGAAAGGCTGACTTATTAAAGTAAGCTATTGAAAATAGAAGTAACAATTTAAAGCGGCTTAAAAATGAACGTTACTGTCAACATCCATAGGACTACATTTGATAAGCAATCTGAGGAATTGCCTTGGAACTTTTTTGGGGGATAGACTCAGTGCACAGGCACGCGGTGCATACAGTCATATAGAAACTCAGATTACTGTATTGCAAAGAATTCTGCCATTTCAGACACATTTTTTGCTCCCTGCTTCACTAGTTACCTAAAATTTGGATGGAGGTTAGATTTTCACCCCAACAACTGAAAGGAATATTGACTTCTACAAAGCGTCCATCCATCTGACCGGGATTAGTTCCACACTCTTCGTTACTGCAGTATCTGAGAATTCATGACCTTAAGTTAGATGGATGGTATGCAAAGTCTTTAAAAATGGTTAGCTGAACTACCAAGGTATTTCAGAGAGGACAGCAAAGCCAGCAGTCCTTCTCAGGGATGTCAAGCCACAATGTTCACTTACGCTTCTCAAGTAAGAGCTAGAAATTTAAATGCTGATACCTGTTTTTAAAAGTTTGGTATCAGCCACCTTTCGTCTTCCTCCAGCAGAGCTGCAAGAGCAGTGAGGTCCTGCAGAGGGGCCAGTTACACACGCTGGGGCAAGGGATGGTAACCACCATTGGCGAAGCTGTTTATGAAGTGAACTGAAGGATTAATTTAACCTGGTAATCAGGCTTCACACACCGACAACCAGAAGCCCGCAACTGGAGAGAGCCGCCAGCCCTCCACACTCCTGTCCTGGCCACTAACACAGCTCCCCCGCTGCGAGAAGGGACAGAGGTACCTTAGCCTTTTTTGACTACCAACAACAATAAATGCTTACTGGGAAAAGTAAATCTAGGCATCCTGAACTCAGGAGAAAACTTTGGTATCGTGTCTCAGCACTTCCTATACGTAATTCATTTGCTCCGGTGCTCTTCCTCACTACCTCATTCCTCCTGCTTGTTACGTTTGGGACTTCAGTAACACCTGGGAAAGTAAGAAGCTGCGTGAAGCATTATTAGCTTGATTATATTCTTAAGTAACATTGAATGCTCACACTACTTTTGATACTCAGAAGCGAGAAATTATTAGTTCTTTTGAGCTATGGCTAGCACAAGGGTTTTGGTTTTTTTACGTACACAGAGCAAATAGGCCGTGAGGATGATGGTAAGTCTAACTAAAGCAACAGAATGCACTCCAAGGATATTCAAATTTGGTTTAAAGCATTTCTATTACAGAGAATTTTTTTTTTATTATTCTGTGAAACAGTTTACAATATTTTGTCTCTCTCTTTCATTGTTATTACAATTTAAAAGATTAACTAAAAATACCCTACCAAAAAATGAGACCGGTGGAGCAGTCCGATTCAATTGTATTTATTCTGCACGCTCCACGAAATTAGGACACAGTTAATCAGCAACTGTGCTTAATTAGTAAGAAACCTATTTAAACCTAATGATACACATGGCCAGGGTTGATGCTGCTTAATGGAGACAGTAGCTCTGCTTAATTGGGATGCTTTCAGGTGATATAGCAGTTGAAAGTGATGCTTTGCTCTGCTGTTTCAGGCCCACCGTGGTTATCTCCTTCCATCCCGCTGGCAACATTTTGCAGTTGGAGCTGACATAGCACCCAAAGGGGTCCCTCGCTGCCGCCTTTTACCTCCTGACTTGCGCCTTCAGCACCAGTTCTTCACTGCCAGCTGCCCTACTGCAGAACAGATCTGCCGTCTGAGGACGGGGACGACTCATGTGTAAGGTCTGCTGCCAACTCCCTTGACTTGAGCGTTGAAGCGGCGCTTTTCAGTAGCCGGAAGGACTTTATCGTCGGCTTCAGCAGCACAATACGGACTTGCCTGTGACACCTCTCACAGATCAGCAGTGGTCACAGCTGCCTGAATGTTTTCAGTAAGAAGTTTAAGAAGTTTGCGATTCCTGAAAAACACCCCCTGATTTTTATATACCGTATTAATGCTACCATACCTGATAGCTGCTCACCAGCCTGTGGAAACGAGTCAGAAGCCTTAGCTCAGTCCTAGAAGAGCCTTCCTCTCACTCCAGCCTTTTGTTGGCATCCTCAGAGGGAAAGGGTCACTGAGAGATTCAGAGGTTTTCTCAAACCTGCAGATGATCTCCACGAGAGACAGCACTGTCACCCTGCTGGGCAGCATAGGGCAGCTTGCAAATTAGCTGATCTGTCACACAGAAATAACAAAAATTGGCTCAAAGGATGGCAGTTCCTCGTGGCCATTAAATTCACTGCAAATAACTAAGAAAGGAGGATTTGTAAAGACATTTTGTAAAGACAGCATTTTAGACAAGATACCAAAGCCAGAACAAAGTTTGCACAGTACGCAGCACTTGGCAGTGTGTCAGTATAACATGAGACGGTTTCGCTTCCATCAACAAAGAGCTTAGTGCCACAGCAGAGTCCCTCAAATCTAACTAAAGTAATTAACTGTGCCCATCGACTGGAACTAGACCTGTCAAGCGGTACCGCGCTGCTCCAGTCAACCCTCGGGATCAAGCAGCTGAACAACGTTGCAGCCTGTAACAGCATGAGTTGGGAAGATAACACAAGTCTTGGAAAAACATGGAAACAGATGTAACTCCAAGCCGCCTCGCAGATCAGCAGCTGCCTTTTGCAAAAGACTGCAATATGGGAGACCACAGCAAGCCTTCAGCTGGAAATATATTCATTTAAGGGCAGTATAAATACTGCTCTACCGATCCATCTTTAGCTGAACTTTCTTACTATGCTCCTTTGCATCTTTGTTGTTTTCTTCTGGCTTTTCACATTCCAAATGCCTCACAGAACCAATGCAGATATTTCATGAAAAAGGCTTGGTTTGAAACTGTGTCTGCACTAGTTCCTACATAAAGTTTCACTGGGGTTTCATGAGTACAATCCTGCTAAGTATCAATGTTCTCAGCGTAGGCTGGTGGGAGGACAACAGAACGGCTGAGGCGGAAAAGACCAGAAACGTCAGGATTAGCCACAACAGCAGCAAGTGGAGGGAGGGAGGAGCAGGAAAGATCAGTGAGTGCGTAGGGAGAACGGAAAATGAGACAACTTTAGAGAGAAGAGGAAAAGAGAAGGGTAAGGGAGTAGAGAAATTACACACCAAGCCTAAACCACCTCAGGAGCCGGAGATGTGATTGGGAGTGGTCTCTTGCCCAGGGCAAAGATGGCTCAGTGTAACGTGACAGTCTGTAGCGACTGGAAACACGAATGCACGTGCACACACACTTAGTGTACCTAGTTACAAGTAAAACAGGACTTCTACTTGTCACTGTGAGTCTGTCTGTCAGGCAGGGAACAACCATGCAAGATGATGTGGTGCAGCTTGTGGCGTTTCAGTACATCTTTAGAAAACAATTAGCCCCTTCAGCTGTCTTGTGTTCAATTGGATCCAAAACCTCGTCTCCCCTACTTCCAACAGAAAGACCTGCTGGAATACATCAGGAAAAAGCAGCATCACTTCAGTGGTATGGTTTCACTGTCCAGGAAGCAAAACAACATAATTACAAATTGTAAGAGAATGCTGTGTTCCAAAAAAGCCCCACTCCAGCCTCCCATATTCTTACAAGACTCCTGTCTGACCCACCGGATTTCACAACCTTCGCTTCCACAGCCCCTCTACTGCTGGTCCCATCCCCTCCTCGCTTGCAGTGAATGCCCGCAGGGGGGCGAGGAGACAAAATCAGCTCAGCCAGAACGTTGGCCCCTCCAGCCACGCAGGTGAAGGAAACAGTCTGACCAAGCTTCACTATAAAGCTACGCGACCGAGGATCTGGATACCTAATCTAACACATAGCACCTTGGTCATAGTTAGTATATTTTTGTATGAGGCGACCACGAAGAATAAAAATGCCTGCCCTGGAATGGCTGCAATAATACTTTGAAAATGCTGTAACGCAAAAGATCTTTCAGTTGATAACAAACATGGAATAATTTATATCTGTAGTGTAAAAGCATGAAAACAACTGAACATGACCAGCTCTACACTATTGATTTTTAGATAAATGGCCAGGTCTGGGAGTGACTGCAAGCACAAAAAGAGTAGAGTTGGATGGAAAGTTAAATGCTATTTTGGCTCTTCTGCGACCTTGCTGGTCATACATTCTATGAAGATTAATTATCAGAACTGTAATTTGGTTACCACTACAACAGTTTCAGGCTTCCTAGCAGCAGCTTGCTGGAGCTGCTGAGGTTAAAGACAATTCTTTTTTAAGCTATATGAATGATCATTAAACATGATTGGTAAAGAAGCAAACTGTCAAAGTTGTTTCATTTATTTCTTAATATCACAGCTGTACAATTTTCATACATACAGCAGGAAATGCACATTGGTTACACAATGGCATTTGGCTGCATTTCCAAGTATAATACAGTAAGTGCAACTCCACTTAAAAATGTACATTTATACAACTTAAAGAAATTAAGGATTGCTACACTACTATCTGTGACAGTATAAAGCTTCATTTATGTTACGTCTCATTACTAAACCACTTCCTGGTTAAATATAAAACATATTCAATCATTTTAAAATGGCCCTTGTGGTACTTGGCCAGCATATAAAATATTTGTGTGTAAAATTTAACCATTAACTTTTTTTTTTTAAAAATAATCCTCTAAGCCTATTCAAACGTTTGCTATTGAACTGTTATACTGACACTTTGTAGCAGGAACCAAATTTTACCCTCATTTTGTTTGCTCTTGCACTGCTTATCATAAAAAGAAGTTACATTTGTAATGTATTGCAGCTTTATTCAGATACAACCAGATGGCTAAACTACTTAACAATTTTGCTCAAAAGGTAAATAACATTCTTCAATAAAGAAAACAAAATTACATTTCAGAGATATTTGTCATCAAAATTTTAATGGGTAGAGTGCTACCAGCACTGGGGGGAAAAAAAAAAAAAAGTATTAATTTATCTTTTAAGACCCACCCGAATATTCAGTTTAAATTCTTATAACTTTACTTTTGGAATACATTGGTCCACAGACCACAGTCTTGTTACAGTTTACCAAATGAAAAACAAAATTGCTTATTGCCGTCCCTATAACAGGAATGGTTCAGTTTTAAACCTCCTTTAAAAATATACATTTTACAATCCTTTCACCTCAACAAAGGTGACACTGACAATAAATACACTGGTTTGGTGGTTTTATTTTTCTTCACTACGAAAAGTCTACAAACTACCTGTTGTAGGCCCTTTCTTTTTTAGACTTCTCCAGTGCCTTGTCCATAGTTTTCTCATTTTCTCCTCTACATTTGGGGCAGTACCATTTGCCCTTTGGTTTATGATTGAGTCCCACGCAGGAAAAGTGAAACCACTCAATGGGGCACTCATCATTATCGCATCCTATCATTTCTCCATAGGAGACTTGGTTGCACAAGCAGTATGTTGGCTCGTTAGGGTCAATAGGAAGGTCTGGGGGAGAAGCTTCCCTCTCTGCTTTAGCCTTGGATCGTTTCTTCTTCTTGGACGTTTTTGCTTTCTTCTCCTTTGGAGTTCCTGAGGTGATGTCATCGTGATCATGATTATTTGAAGCATTTTCTCGATTCTCATTATTTCTTTGCCGCCTCGATCTCTTATTGTTGGGCTTTTCAGCCTGCGCGATTGTCTCATTCTTTGACTTATCTTGGCTGGCCTTCCCGCTGTTTCCAGTGGTATCATTAGTCTCTTGACAAGTCTCAAACAGTTCCACGTGGCTGTCCACTTGCCTGGTTCTGTTCTCAACGAGCTCCACCATCTGACTGACGATTTGGATTTTCTCGTCCCCCAGTTCCTGACTCCGAATCAAGGCCCTCTGTATGCAGTGCAACATTCTTCTCTTCTGCACGGCATCTGTCTCTCGTTTAAATTTTTCATAGTAATCATCCAGGTCCTTCAAAATCTCTGCAAGGAAGAAATAAAAACTATAAATATTTTCGACAAGGAGAATGGCGAAACAAAGCCTTCCCACATCGTTCCTTCCACGCAGCAACACCTTTTCATAACACACAAAGCTGATCAAAGACAGATTCCCTGAAGCTGGTGTCTGACAAGGGGCTCGTGACTCCAATGGGTTACTTTTGTTCTAGTCTGTCCCGCAGGAATAGAATGCAAATGCTGATTTAGGGGAAAAAAGGGACTAAACATGATTTTATGCATGTTGACAATTCTTCCCTTTAAACTTACCAGTAATTAAAAAGAACTAACTAACTAAACAAATACACACGCACCATCAAGAGTTCCAAAATTAATTGTAAAATTAGAGGGGAAATTAATAGATTGTTTTCCTGGACACTTTCTGTATAACAACATTAATATTTTTAGTAAATGACTGAAAGTGGGAGAAAGAGAGTGGGACAGAAAGCAAACACAAACCAGTGTAGAAATCAGATGCTGAGTTACTTAATAATGACTATCATACTTGACAGCTGATGCAGAAGAACTCCAAACACATGGGGCTAGACCCTAAGCTATGGCAAGTTTCATCCAATACTGCTGAGTTATTTTTGCTGAAAATGCGAGGCCACTTAAATCCCTAGGACTACAGAATTAGGATTACAATATCCAAGATGTCTAGATGATTTCCTCCCTATACTTTCTATAAAAAAGCTGGTGCTTACTTTTTAAAACACAGAAATATAATCTTCATTAAATATTTACTGCAGAGAAGGAGATGAAAAAGTTGTAAGATAACATTAAAGATGATACGGAACAATTGGAGCAGCTAGAGCTTCCGATTTAAAATGCTAACATTGAAAATATGCTAGATCTTGAATTGCACCTCAAGGATTGTTCCAACAGTGTATAAGAAAGAACACTGCACAGAAGTGTTTAAAGTTTCATGAATAGTTCTAGAAACCTATTTTTAAGCAGATGTTTTTGAGTTTCACTACGATACTCAAATCAACTCGAACATACAGGACACTCAGCATTTCCATACTACTTCCTCAAAAACATGTAGAATGTTTCCCCTGCATCTCCTTTCTTCTCTGATTTTTCCCTTTCTGACAGGTTAGAACATTCTGCCTTAGAAAAGCAAAATATACTGAGATATAAAATCTAACCTCGATTCACCTAACAGAAGCCAGGATCTTGTATACATACAAATGGCATTACCAAAACTGTCTCTGAATTTCACAAGTACGAACTTACTTTTTTTAAACTTTTTTTTTTTTAAGTAAGAGAATGTGGTAACAGCAATTTACATATGCAACTAACAGTTACCCTGTGATTTAGGTTTTGTCTTGCCTGGGTAGATTTTTTGAACACACGCATTCCAAATTTCTTGTGAACACACAGGAAGTTTATGTAAGTTTTACTTCAGTTTTTAGAGCTGCAGCTTATGCTTCTCATATCGGTTAAGCACGACCTGTCAGCAGGTACTGCAATACAACCTATCTGACCAAAATTAGTATTCCAATATGTTATTATCTTAAGCAAACGCCTTTTTCCTAACAAAAAAAACCCCAACCCCCCCCCCAAGAAACCCCCCCCAAAAACCCCCAAAACATCCACCCAAAAAACCCCACCCCTACCACCACCACCAAAAACCCCCCAATGTAGAGAAGATTAAGCACTCAGGAAGACTAAAAATCCAGCATTAATTATTTTCAGTGGCTGAAATGCAGAAGTTTTATATTCTAAGTTTTGACACTTGACTGATGTCATCAGTTTAACCCATCTGAATCTGGTACGTAGCCATCTTTCATCAAGAATACACTCTCTCTTGATACCACAAAATAATTAGTGACTTAATGACTTAAGTCAGGCATTACGAAAACTTCAAGCCTAGTACCACATATACACATTAACACTACAGCACCACACCACCTCCTGAAACTGCTGTATTATGCAGGAGAAATAGTTGGCTGTGATGAATTCTGCAAAGCCCTGCTGAGCGCGTCCTGAGTTTAGTATGTAAGACACCATGCAAGATGTGCCTTCTCACAAACGCACGCAAACAGAAAGGGCTGCTTAGCATCAGCGTTGGAAAGGCGTTATTCAAGCAGTGCACCAGCTAAAAGAAACAGCTTGACAGCTGTCTACTACGGCTTGGAGGAGGACTGCACCACCGTTCCTCATACCAGCATGCTCAGCTGAAGTTGCCCGCCCAAAGGAGGCTGCGTTTATAGGAATTCCAGAAAGCTGCTTTCCCCTGGCGTGCTGTAACAGAAAGACCAGAAAGCAGAGTTTTGCGCGATTTGCGTGTTATGCAATTGTTCACCAGCTGTGAAGGCACACCCCCAACATCACAAACGCCATCCAAATGACAAGAAAAAAAAGGTGCCGTATGTTGTGAGAGCTTTATTCCCCAAACAGTCCCGTAGCCCTCACGGGGGCTG